CCCCGGGACCCAAAACAATGCTTAATAGTCCACGAAACGGACAATAATCGGCCAAAACTGTGAGTGTTGATGACCGACACGTAAACCTACCCGAGGTTCGTTTTTAGTGGAAATCACTCCGGGAACCCAAAACAGTGAGTCATAGTCCACGAAACGGGTCAGAATCGGCCAAAACTGCGAGTGTTGATGACTGACACGTAAACGCACCCCGAGATTGGTTAATCGTGAAAATCACTCCGGGACCCCCAAATAGTGAGTAATATTTCATGAAACGGGTCAGAATCGACCAAAACTGTGAGTGTTGATGATCGACACGTAAGCGCACCCCGAGGTTCGTCAATTGTGGAAATCGCTCTGGTACCCCAAAACGGTGAGTAATTGTGCACGAAACGGAACAGAATCAGCCAAAATTGTGAGTGTTGATCACCGGCACATAAACGCACCCTGGTGTTCGTCAATCGTGAAAATCACTCCGGGACCCCAAAATTGAGTAATGGTCCAAGAAATAGGCTAGTATCGGCCAAAACTACGGTTATTAATGACCGACACGTCAGCGCACCATGGGGTTCAACAACCATGGAAATCGCTTTGGGACCCAAAACAATGAGTAATAGTCCATGAAACGGGCCAGGATCACCAAAAACTGTGAGTGTTGATGACCGACATGTAAATGTACTCCGAGGTTCGTTAATTGTGGAAATCACTCCGGGACACCAAAACAGTGAGTAATAGTCCACAAAACGGGCTAGAATCGGCAAAAACTGTGAGTCTTGATGACCAACACATAAACGCACCCCGGGGTTCGTTAATATTGGAAATAAGTCCGGGACACCAAAACAGCAAGTAATAGTCTACGAAACGGGTCAGAATCGGCCAAAACTGTGAGTGTTGACGACCCACATGTAAACCCACCCCGGGGATCGTTAATCATTGAAATCACTCTTGTACCCCAATACATTGAGTACTAGTCCATTAAACGTGCCAGAATCGGGCAAAACTGTGAGTGTTGATGACCGACAGGTAAACGCACCCCGGGTTCGTTAATCTTGGAAATCACTCCGGAACCCCAAAATAGTGAGTAATAGTCCATGAAACGGGTCCGAATCTACAAAAACCGCCAGCGTTGAATACCGACACGTAAACGCACCCCGGGGTTCGTTAATTGTGGAAATCACTCTGGGACCCCAAAACAGTGAGTAATTGTCCACGAAACGGGCCAGAATCGGCCGAAACTGTGAGTGTTGATGACCGACATGTAAACGCACTCCATGGTTCATTAATCGTGGAAATGAATCCGGTTCCCCAAAACAGTGAGTAATTGTCCATGAAACGGGCCAAAATCGGCCAAAACTCGGAGTGTTAGTGACAAACATGTAAACGCACCCCGGGGTTCGTTAATCGTGGAAATCACCCCGGGACCCCAAAACAGTGCTTAATAGTCCACGAAACG